TATAATATAAGTTTCAAAACCAGTGTAATGCAGCAGAATAATCATGTCATGTGTGTTAACTATTCTACTGGCCAGAGAAATGCAGGGTTTACATACGTCTATTACCTACATTTAGTGCAAGTCACTACTTACACTCACCCACAGAATCACCCTATGGCATGTCTCATACATACACAAGCTTACCGTCTAGGTGGAACAACACATGCATATTATAAGCAGTTGCACAATATTAGCTCAACAACATCTCAAAATCAATACATCAAAACACATTATGCATATAAACCATTCCCCCATGGGGTATGGTGGAACCAACAATGGCTAAACCGATGACACAAAAACTTACCTCGCAAGCTAACTATCCCAACAAGAGTCAAACCAGCACAAAGTCTACAAACAGCAGAATCACAATATGTTTTAGACCAGCAATCATATCAACAATCATACTTTACAAGCCTATAACATAAAGACAACGCTTTCCTTTTACGTTTCATGTCTTTAGGCTTCTCACAAACTCATAAGTGCTTAATCACTTAGATTCTAAGTTAGTTAATCATTATAGAAGTTCAACTTAATCAATCATGGGTCCATAAACCCATAATACAGTTCTGTCAGAACAGAACCGTCACTGTCTCGAGATTCCCAGAATATCCGGATATTTGTCGGGGGTATATCCGGATATCCTTATCCGAATATCCACAACCCCATATCCGGATATCAATATCCGGATATCATATCCGGATATTTCGCGACAGAATGCAGTTCTGCATTTTCGTGAAGATATCACTCAAAGGTTCAACTTTTAACCCATTACCACGTCCAAGCATGCATTTTTATACCCCTTTAGGTTCAGTGATCATGTTAGTTACTTAAACATTTCATTAAACATGCCAAGACTCTACTTTTAACCAATGAAACACATGATCAAGGGTGATGAAGCTTACCCAAGCTTAGACAGAACAAGGAGGTGCTCTTGGAGTTCTCCCTTCAGCTCCAATGGTGCTGACTTCAAGATGCACGAAAATGGTGATCAAAGGTTGGTTCTTTCTCACCAAAGATCACTCCTTAGAGCTCAAAATGCCATGACAATGGCTTCCCCCAACAACTCAGAAACACATCCCCTTAAGCGTTACAAATTCTGAAACTAAACTCAGAAAGAAGTCCCCTACTCACACCCAAGGCAAGCCTTTACTCACACAAGGTGTTTTGGTAGAGAAAAAATGAAGAAAAATGGCACCTTTGGCTCACAAGAGGAAGGGAGGGTGAAGGTGACAAGAGAAGGCTCAAGGCTGTTGAAGAAAATCAGAAAACTCACGTAGTAATGGCACAAATCAGCCTAGGGTTTAGTGCCAAGCCTATTTATACTCACATTAAGTTTAATCATATTGTATTAGCACAAATAGCTACGCTTAGCATTTTAATCCCAAACTTAGGATTCTGAACTTAGCCATTTTTCTAAGATTTGTCATATTTTTATTTTATTTTTCGCAATACTTTTTCGGTACTTGCTTTTACTTAGTCAGTATTAGTTCTAACATCAGTTCTCATTATTTTGACTCCAAACTTGTTATGCAAGTCCTATATATTATTCTAGTGACACATACATACTTTTCATAATTTTTTGAGATACTTCATCGGTACGCATTTATACAGTGCGGCAGAACTGGTATCTGCACTTTTTGTCAGAAAAGCGACTTCAACATTATTAATCACTTACCATACTTATTTAGGCCTTCTCATAATTATTAGGGTTAATTATGAAATTATCTCATTAATCACATAATTAATTTATTAGTTTCCTAAATTAACGGTGCGGTTCTTACACTGTTGGTGAGAGATTTAAAATTTCCAACATAGCTGAGGCTGGGAATCTGGTGAATGTACTGACTAAATGGAATATGATGCTTCAATCGAGATTTGAGAATTTATGCTGAGGATGGTCCACATTCAAACCAAGCTGAAGGCCCGTAATATTATTTTTCAGGATGATTTTATTGTACATCATGTTCTGAATGTTTTGCCTGCTTATTTTAGCCAGATTAAGACTGCTTGTACTGTGCAAAATGAAACTTGAGGTGTTAATGATTTGACTGAGAAATGTGTTGCTGAAGAAGACAAGTTAAGAAAGAAAAGAATAAGTTTGCTTTTGCTCATTTGTCAATCAAAGATAAAACAAAACCTTCAACAAGAATAAAGGGGGGACAATGACCATATTGCCACTTTTTAGGCAAAATTTTACCTGATTGCCACTTCTGAAAAAAAATTTGCCAAAATGCCACGCCTGAATCCCGCTGGTTTGACAAGCGGGAATGGACTGGACACGTGTCAGCGTCTGAATGGTCAACCATTCTCGCTGGGCCGCTCAGCTAGAATGACAGAATGCTGACACGTGGCAAAAGTACAGACATGCAGAGAATGCTTGTGCTTTTGCCACGTGTCAGCATTCTGTCATTCTAGCTGGGCGGCCCAGCGAGAATGGTTGACCATTCAGGCGCTGACACGTGTCCAGTCCATTCCCGCTTGTCAGATCAGCGGGATTCATGCGTGGCATTTTGGCAAATTTTTTTTCAGAAGTGGCAATCAGGTAAATTTTTATGAAAGGAGTGGCAATATGGTCAATGTCCCAATAAAGGGAAGTTCAAAAGGAACAATTCTCTTGCTACTAGGCAATCTCGGAATTTCAAAAGGAAGGGCAATAATGAAAAATATGGAGGAGCAGTTATGAAATGCGTTCACTGAAAAGAAAAAGGTCACAAGAGAATCAATTGCTATAAGTTTAAGGCTTGGTTAGCTAAGAAACAAAAGGGCCAAGGTGAGTTATTGGTATGTTTTGAATCAAATATGATTGATGTTCCTTTAAACTCTTGGTGGTTGGATTCTAGTGCTTTCATCCATGTAACATCTACTTTGCAGGGTCTAAAAAACTTGAGGAAACCAAGTCCGAGGGAGTCAAAGCTTAAAGTTGGAAATGATGTTGGTGTAGACGTGCAGCGTGTTGGCACTATTTTTCTGCTATTAGCTTCTGACCACAAACTTGTTTTAAATAATGCTTTTTATGTTCCAGACTTTAGAAGGAATTTACTTTCTCTTTCATCTTTGGACAATGTTGGAAATTGTTTCCATTTTTCTAATAAAAGAGTGGATCTGTTTTTTGATTCTAAGATTATTGGAAATTGTGTTATGGTTGATGGTTTATATAAATTGTCTTTATCTTCTGATGACCCTTATTGCTCATTGAATGTTGAATGTGATGTGAGTAAAAGATGTTTAATAAAAGATGTTGAATGTGGTGATGACCCATATCTTCTGATAACCCATACTGCTTGCTGAATGCTGCCAATTTTGAAATAGGCGATAAAGAGGAAGACCCTGACATCTTGTTCCCTCATTTTCTCTGGCCTTGTGATAGCCCAACAAGGTACATGCAATAATATCTCTGATTTCTTGTTATTTGGTATTTTATAATCATATGCACGATTCATCGTTACTTTAGTTCTTTCAATCTTGTGTTGGGATGTCTGATAGCGTTGTAGTGGATGGCAGCATGGGCACAATAGGGTTGACACAGTTGGGTTAATAGGGTTGAGGTAGTTTGGACCCTTGATATTGGGCCAACCTTGTTGGGCTAACCAATTGGGTCAGCTAGAGCCAACCAATTCGGTCAGCCAGAGCCAGAACAAGTAGTTTTTTGTTTGGTAAAGCACTTATGTTGTAATTATTAAACAACCTTTTACTCATTCAATCAATCTTTGACTTTCACTATTTTGAATTTCTCTCCTATATATCATATTTTCAACAAGTGGTACTAAATCTTTTTCAGAATTGATTAATATCAAAATCAATTTTTTTTAACAAGGCCTTTATCTATATTTTGGTCTAAGCTTATTCTCTAGACACCAATTAAGTTGAAAAAATTGAGTATCAGTAGCCATGAGGAAAACATTTTCCATGAAAAAAAAAGTTAACAAGGCATGAGTGATATGAACCTCACCAAGAATAGTGAGACCCAAGAATAATTTAGTTAGGATCGTTTCTACAATCACGAATTTAAAACAAGATATATAGAACCTTGAACCGTTATCTATGGAAGATAAGAACCAAAGGTATAAGAAGGATAATGATGTCACACTCAAGAAAGAAGAAGGTGATTGATAAGTCTGTTTTGAACGCCACAAGAATAAGCTTCTTGATAAGTTCAAAGTTCTAGATAAGAACCAAAGAAAAGAAACCTTTCTATTATATTATAACTTCAAAATCTGATTACAAGAGATATATCCTCCCTTATTTATTTTTGGAACATCCCTCCAAGAATAGGAAAAGACTAGCAAATAAAAAGACACTAATTTGAAGTTGACAATTTGAAAAAAGGGAAAGACTCTAATCAGCTCACTAAACATTAATGACATTGAAAATGTTAATCAACCCCACTAAGCATTAATGACACTGAAAATGCTATCAGACCCTCTAAGCATTAATTGACATTAGAAATCGCTACTCATTCCACTCAACCTCTCTTGCATTGATGGAATTAACTAAATTCTGATGATGAGTAAATTTAGACTTGATGTCTTCATAATTATGTGGGCTGGATCAACCTACTAAGAGCTTCTTAAACTTCTTGGCCATTGTGATTGGCCCATTTGGCAATTGCAATGAATCACTAGGTGTTGTCTCCTTATTCATATCAATGAGTCTGTCTATGTGAGAGGGAAAGTTGAGACAAATCTGATTGCTTAAAAAAATTGCCTTAATTCACCAAAAAAAAGTATTTTTAATGCAGTTGTGTTAAAAATTTAGTGAGAACTTTGTTATATATGTAATCCTACCCGACTTGATTGAATTAGTCGTTAATCAATTAACCAGCGGAGAAATCTCAAAAACGTATCTATAACTAGTGTGGCCATCTTATATTTCTCATATTGGAAGTGTTTGGAGAGGATAATCCCTGAAAGTGATTATTGGTCTAATACATGGATTAGTTGTAAGGTTATTACAAAAGCATGGGACATAGAACTTTAGTTATTTATTATTTATCTTGATAACCATGCATGTTTCTTCTACAAAGATAGCAGTTTAGTTTCCATACATCAAATCAGACACAGTCACACATTCACATGAGAAATATTAATGTTTCTAACACGATTGTTCAAAACCCTGTGCTTGGGAACCGTAATAGTAAGCACCCCATCATCCATATGAGCCTTAACATGGTCAACGTTGGAGTTTTCAGGCAAGTTGAGACGCTGAACGAAATGGCCACTTGATTGCTCCATGAGGTACCACCCACCTCTATGTTCTTCCTTCTCCACGCTCTTCTCGCAAATGATGCTTAGCACATTGCGATCATCCACTTCCACTCTCACATCACTGCGATTGAGCCCTGGAAGGTGTGCCTTGTACACATGCGCTTCAGGTGTCTCCTTGGACTCTATATGGACATTGACAATTTGTGATTGTTCGCCAGGGAAAGCCATGAAGGGTGTGTTGGTTCGAGCAGTTCTCAAACCATGGTCTTGGTATGGGTCCCATGTTTGATGACGGGGTGGCTCAGATTTTCGACCAAAGAAGCCACCGCGAAGTTTATTAGACATTATTTTGAGTGTTAATTTTGATGTTATGAAGCAGCACTTATTTATAGGACAACAAAGGGGTTAATATGATCTATCAGTGATCGTCAATCCCATATAGAAATCCCATTAGTGCTATGATGGAACTATGGAACAATCACATAGTCACATAAAAAATTGCTGCAGAATATGTAGTCATATTATATGGTTGGTAGCATTGTGGAGGTTCCTATCTAAGGTCTACTGATTAGTTACTGTTCAAAATTCCAGCATTTTATAATTTAATAATGTTAATTCCAGGTGTAGGTGCATAAATTCCTATTGGAATACGATGCTGGTTCGTGTTGTAATTTTGAAGCTAATAAGGCATATATCCCTTTTCGACCCCATTTGATTAAAAAGAAAAGATCGAAAGAAAAAAGGAAAAAACTATTCTTATATCATATGAGATAAGTTTTATTCTTATACACTTTTCGATAATTATGTAATTTTTTTTTTTTTTAGATAATTAATCTTACCATCATGTGTCTACAATATAAAATTTTTCTTCTCATACAACATTAATCTAGATAAGTTAAAAAAAAAAAAAGGCACAACTTGCTGATCAGGTAAATAGACACAAAATCGTTGCCTGATGGGTTCTCCTGGCGATGTGACTTTTGTTGTCATGTCAATTTAATGCATCGTACTAAATTAAATTAATTATCTTTATATTTAAATTCAATAGTAGTAATTAAGAAATAAATTTATAGATAATGAATTAAGAATTATTTTTACATGATAATTAATTATTAATGAGGCAGACTATATTTATAATTTTTTTCTTACAACCACTTTATTATTATTAGATCAAATTTAATTAATGATTCTTATTTGATATTATTTTATAATTATTAATTTAATTTTAAACGAATAATAAAGAAAATAATAATAAGAAGTTATAAGAAAAAATTATAAATATAACCTCCTTCATAATTAATTATTATTATTCTTCATTTTATTTTGAAAAACTAAAGAAATACATATAAGTAATATTGACTGAATTTCCACCAAAAAAATATTGACTGAATTTAAATAAAAACAAAATACTAAAAACGAAAAGCATAAAATAAAAACTAAATTCTAAAAAAATAAAGAAACACAAATCAAATTTTAAAAGGAAAAGAATTTAAAGTTAACGTATCTTAATCTCACTTGAACTAAATTTATTTTTAGTCAAAAAAATTATACCAACCCTAATTACCTTCTTTGAGAGAAGTAGAATTTCCCGAATATTCTGATAAGTTTTAAATTAATTTCGAATGCAGGATAAGTTCGAGATTAAGATGTTATGCCTCTCCCAAATATAGTATTGGTGGAAATCGAATCAAAGTCCTTCCATCACTTATTCAGCTCTCATGCATCAACTGAACTACCACTATTTGATGTCTCAATCAATTTTAATCGTCTTATGCACATGATAAAAAATAATAAATTATTAATATTATTTTTGGAGTGGTACCAAACATATTAAACGAACACATATTACCTATCTTTCAATAATATTATTGATAATAAATATTAATTAACTCATTAACATTTATGATTAACCAACTCGATTACCCATAAAATAAAGACAAAATTATTTTTGTTCTGAGGCAGAAATATTTTGTCTGACACTTATATATATTTATCAAGATACAACGTCAGATCTTGGTAATTTTTTTTTTAAAGAAATCAGTGAATCTTATTTTTTTGTCTCTATCGCATAAAGCAAATATCTACCGGTGCTGCGAAAAAATTGAGCCCTAAAATAAATTTGTATTTCCTTTCTCATTATATACTTATGGAGTTTATCATCTAAATCAAATCAAAAAAATTTCCTTTTAGTTTGATTCCAAGATACAAGTCAATAGAGATTAAGAACAATGATAAACTCTTACATAAATGCAAAAACCAATTTATACATATATTCAAGGGGTTTATACTTCTAGGAGAATAGCCTTCTCATGTTATAGATATATTAATGACGGAGCTCACTTCAATTTTTTTTCTCTCACTTCTTTTTCTTCTCTCTCTCTCCTAATTATTGTGTGAGCTGCAAAATAACAACTTCTCCACCAACATGAGAAGTTGTTATCTCTATATTCAAACTATATCAGAACTCTTAAAAGAAAATTTAGTCAGTGGTAAATAATGTAAGTAAAGAATAAAGTGAAAATGAAAACCCAATATAGAGATTGTGTGATTTTCATCTATCTTTGGTCTTGCATTCTTCTCTTTTTCAACTCTGTGACGTTTCCCTCCAGATTTAAGGATAAGCTCCTTTTGTAATAACTGTTTTCCCTTTGATTATGTTTTGTAGTAGATGTGTCTTGTTGGATTAGTCTCAAGGGGGAGGCTTGAGGGCCCAATTGAAGTGGGCCCTAGCTTGTTATTAGTCCGGAATAATGGCCCCAACTCTATGTCAACTTAGCCCAATAATGAAAGGAACAGAATCAACAAAATAGATTACTCGATTCAAGGACGCTATTATAGGAAGACCAGCACACAAGGTGAGCTCATGCCAATACTACTAGCATCTATTGTATTACCACGTTGAAATACAGTCACTAGATTATTTCCCTTTAATTTCGCATGGATAACATTCTCCAAAATCACCCAAGTGTTTGATAGAAAATTGCCACCACATAAATTTCCTGGTCCCCTCTCTTTCCTCTTTCCTCTTTCCTCTCTCCTTTCTATGGGGGTGCATTGGTTTGGGACCTCTATATATTTGCTTCTTGACACGACAATGTTGTAATATGAAGTTATCATCCAACTTCATTAGAAACTTCACTCCAATCACAAGACATTTACAACATCAAACTTCTACAACCCTCAAGAAGGTTTATCTTGATTGAAGATCCAAGGATCAAACCAATTTCCATTATTGAGTGAATTAAATTACCTGAATGATGAAGGATGGCTTCTTTAAATCTCTTTGATTGATGGTGATGGTTCTTTGACAAAATAAGAGTCATGTACCTCGAGACTTTGATTTTTTATGCTAAAGTTAGTATTAGACTAGGGTGGAGAATGCAATTCGGTTAGAAGTTTACATGATAATGAGAACCCTATACTGATAACAATATCAAGAGACAATAATCAGTCATGGAATGAGTATCTTCTAGAAGATATTAACTCAACTGGCGGACCTAGGAAAATGTTTTTATGTCCGCACATCTAGTGACGTTGTCCCCAAATTTTTTTTTGTAAAGAAAGTTTAAATCAACGCTTAAACCCGCTCATAATCTAGTTGCTTCCATAACAAGCTGCAGACAATAGTTTAACCAATTATTCCCCCCTAAATCTTACCAATCCTCCAAAACAAATATAGAATATACTCTAGTACATCCATACATCATCATTCTATTTTATAGTGGTGAATAAAAAAGTCAGCACTACCTGTACAGAAGGAAGCAAAATCACAATGAAGGCCTCGTCTCTAGATATTAATTTATTTGAGAATGTCAGACTTGCAATCAATCATCTCTTTTATAAAAATGAAAAAGGAAACAAAGGATGAAGAGAGCATGGGAATGGGTACGTGACAAGGGAGAAAGAATAAGTTTTCTCTCTAATCAATTTGCGTTACTAAGTTGTTTTAATCATCTTCGTACGTTGTTACGTTGCTAATTAATATAAGAATAAATATCATTTTTGGTCTCTAACGAAAAATTCGATCCCCCACTTTAGTCCATTATAAAAAAAAATTAGTCACTTGGTTCCTATGAAATTCAAAGTGAACCCATTTTGGTCTTTTTGAGGAACTAATGTAAGTCTTTTTTGAATTTATGAGGGATCACAATTTTAACTAAATTGATCAACTTTAAATTTTTTAGGGATCTCGAGACTAATTTTTTTTTGTATGGGACTAAAATGGGAACCATATTTTTTACTAAAAACTTAAAAAAAATATTTACTCCTAATATATATATTGAACCAAAAGACAAATAAGAATCTGCAATCAAGAAAAAAAAAATGAAATAAAACATTTTATGTCCGCACTTGCCCCCAAGTGGGTCCGCGTATGAATGCATAACCATAAGCTAGTATGAATAAAAGGATTTCTAGAAGGTGGAATTAGGGATATATAATATATTAGCTCTTGAATATTCTTTGTTTTCATTCTTTCTTCATTGGTTACATTTAACTTCTTGATTTCATTATTACATTCTACACTCTTCCCTTACTATTTGTACCAATTTGACTACTTTTCCTTTCACTCACTACCCATCGTTTACTCACTCACACGTCTAGAACATTCTCATTCAATCACTCATTCCTTTCAGGGTACCTTCTGATTTCCACAAGCCAAGCCTGTAGCTAAATATTTTTATCCTTTGAATTTGGTTACGTGCACACTACAAGATAAGCATTAATCTTTCTTATGTTGGTGCTAGCTAGTGTTGTGTTTCACATGTTGGTACCCTAACTATATTAACTTGGGCTGAAGACCAAGAAGCAAATGCAACCAACATGTTGGGCTTGTTTGCTTTAGTGACCACCTTGTGAATAATTGGCCCAATGCTCTTAGCTGCAACCAATGAAACAGAAAAAATAACAAGGCTTAACTTGATCTTGACATGGGCTCAGTTGAGGGAGAAAAGAGAGACCCCAAAAAAATAGGAGTAAGGAGATAAGGCAGTTGCTTGCATGTTCAAACAACTGAAAGAAGGACCTATTACTCAATCATGGCAGAGGAGATTGAGATTTTTCATAAAGCAACAGTGGAAAAACACGTTTTATGATGCACATGTTAATACTTGGATTGTGCAATTTCTACTATTTTTATGAAGAATTTAAAAATTATATATATACGTGTATATGTATGTGTAATTAACCTTTATAAATATATTTAATATTTTAACTAATTTTTATAACATAAAAAAGTATTGAATTAAATAAATAACATAAAAGTGAAAATTAGCATAATATTATTAATTGAAAAATAAATTTCTAATTTAGCAAATAACTAAAATATATATTAACAATTATAGATATTGAAATGTTACACGTTTATTATCCGAAATTAGAATGAGATACAGTTAAAAGTCAACCTTCAATTCGCCTATTATGGTAAAGTAGTGATCAAAGTGAAGGTTAAAATAGGAAAATTGAACTGGTTTAAGCCACGATGAA